ATTATTTCTATTTCCCTTACTACCCCTTCTACTATTTGATTTGAATTAACAATTATATCTCTGTGCTGATGTGGTATGGCAACATGAACTGATGTACTTACGTACGAAGTTCTACGTTGCAACTGACTGACTGACTATAAAGTTGTTATTTCTAATGTGTCCTGCCTAACACACGATTATAACATAATTCTAACAATGCTCATTTTTAGACTGCGTTAAAATTACATCAGATGTCTAACACAAACACGCGTTCTGTGATTTGTTTGTATAAAGAATCCATCTTTAATACACTATTTCTAAGTAACTTTTGGAAACGGATCACAGAAAAGAAATATCTAATACATTCGTTTATTTGATTTAATTGAATAACTAATTTGTTTCCGATACTTTTTGCATACAAGTATAACCTTTGGGAAAAAAATTGTGAACTGAGTTACTATGATTGTTGGTTTGGTTGGGGAATACTAGTCAAAAGCCTATGCTCCATGAGGAGTAGCATGTGTAGGTAATTAAGTAAACAACTATCGACCTATTGTGCTAACGGAAACAGTGAGAGTGTCCAACGTATTAACGCTTTCAGGTCGATTTTACTGTACAGACGATTACCAATGAACGATTCAGTGAAAAAAAAGTACTTAGGAATGAGAAATGGTGATTTTTCTGAAAAGTCTGACGTATTAGGAACATGAGATATGATCTGAATTTCGAGACCTTGAATAACATGGCTCAGAATCGCTTGCAATGGCGCAGGTGCATCCACTCGTTGTGTCCTCTCAAATTCTAACCTTCTGAATTCCTTATCATCTCTACCTTTCTGTTTCTAAAGTTATCTCAGTGAATTATACTACTCAAATCATATCTTTGAACCCTAATATTCTCCATTACCGCTAATTCTTCTAATATCTCCACCACTATGGGATTTGAACTGACAATTGCGTCTCTGTGTTGATGCCGTATGGCAACCTGGGCTTATGTACTTATGTACGAAGTTCTAGGTTGTAACTAACTGACTGACTGACACTCTGACTGACTGAGATATGATCTGAATAATGGGAACAAAGATCTGAGTAGTCTATTGCCGCAAAAAAGTAGTATTGTGAAAGTGATAAGATTGAGGTACCTTGAAATTTTTCGAAACAACGTTTTTCAGGATTCAAGTTCGCTTGAGGGACTTATGCAGCCACATACATTGATAAACTTTTATATGATGAATCATTTAGTTAGAACGGTTACTTAACTATGAATGAATCTGTTATAATGCTGCTACGTATAGCTATTCAGTCCTAGCGGCGTCCAATTCAAATATCCAATACGACCCAAATACTATTTTCAAATCTCCTATATATCAAAACGCAACACCGTCGGATGGAGTTGTTTATTATGTCGAGTACAGAAGAGAGATAGGCAGGAGGAAACGCAATTGAAATCATGAAGTCTTACAGATAGTGCGTACTTATACATTTAGGTCGAATAGGAAAGAGAATCAAAGTCTGTGACATTGACAGTTTAGGACGACCAATAGGAAAGAACATTTGAAATGACATTGACAGTCCAGATGACCAATAAGAGACAACATTGAAGTATTTGACTTTGACAATTAAAACGACCTTAATTTTGACCAATAGAAATCAACCAATAGGATTATACTTCCAAAAATAGTACTCTTAGGATATTTGGCGAATATCCTAACAGAATCATACAAATGTTTTACCTTGGCTTCATTAGTAAGATGAATTAACAATCATATAAACAGGTTAAAATGGTCTGGTTTTTTTTTAGTTTCTTACTAAAACAAACAGTTTCATCAATTGTATTCACTTCAGTCATAAAGGAAAGGGAAGATTTACTTGTCACATAGGTCAATGACGAAATAATACTAATCATACTTACCAAACCCTTATCTTCTATTACCATGAATAATAAACTTTGTAAATTATAGTTTATGTATATATATATTGAATTTCGAATGGTTATCAACCATTGAATATTAAAACATAGCTAACATGCGCTACAAAATGAATAATCTCATAATAAGCAATCATTTAGACTTTGTAACTTATTTATTACAGAGAAATTCTTTTCAAAAAAGAGTTCAGCTTCTTTAAATGAATATTGAGGTACTTTGTCAATCTACTCTGTAGTCATAAGTTTAAAATAGTTTTATATGACGATTCAATGAATATTCTACGCACGAATCAGTTAATTAATGGTGATCAGTATTACATTGTCTAGTTCTCTTAGTGTTAACTGAATTCTATCAATCATGTGCTCGTATAGTATAGTATCTCAGTATACATTACTAAATATCAGAATGTATATAATTTGTTGTTACGAGGTTGTAGACTGTCTCAACCGTTTAATGGGTTTAGTTGTAGACGAAATGTTTGAGTAGTAACAGCTGTGGATAAGAGTTTGAACCTTAAGAGATAATATTGATTTGGCTTTAATATTGTTGATACACAAATGGTTAATCTTGTTGGAGACGTTAGATCCCCAGAACTCACTTGAAAAGTGTCCTCATTTTGGATGTTTTTATGTTTTCGCGCATCAGTTGCTTAGCTGACCTTGAGATTACATTTCTCACTAGGGAAATCCTTGACTCTCATTGGTTGATGGATTATTTTAGTACGTTATTTTTGTGACTCTCACAAGGATGTTTCTCGATTTGTATGCTTGTCAACCTCGTATTTTCTGGGTGCTTGTAGAATACACTTTGTACGCCTTATCAAGACTTCTTGATATAATTAGCCAGGCTGGGGACAAACGAATTAGAATAGCCTATCGTGTCACTGAGTTATTGCTCTTCGTTCCGTTATCGAGTAAGGTGAACTCGTAATAGTTTCAATCAGTACGAAACCAAGTTCTAAAGCTAACTGACAAGTGATCCTAATTGTTTCATATCACAGATCGTGTTCCTATTGACCATCGGTTGTCTATATCAATGACTTTTTGTTAATTTTAAAAAAAATAATATATACTGTATTTACCTATATCGAAATAAAAGATTATTATCATTCAAACTGCACTTAATAGGTGTAAAGTAGGAATGTTCAAGCATGTTACACTGAGCGCAGAGACATACAAACACACAGACACACATGCACACACACACACACACTCAATGAACAAGCTCAACCAATCAGTAAATCATCTCATAACAAGAGCTTTCAATATATTTTCAAGTTATTGACATTAAAAAAACAAACACAAACCAATAGTGATAAGCATAAAATGAAGTTGAACAAAAGAGACGAAAAAGAAAAAAAATCAATAATCCTATCAAAATAAATCAATACTTGACTGACTTACAAGTAATGGATAAGCCGATGGAGCACCTGTTTGATTAGTAAGAGCCAATGCAGCTGGTGTTGTATAAATTAACTAAAAAATAAATCAATCAATAAAATAAAATAAATAATAATGGGTTGATTAAAAGTAACAATCAAAGTATAGCATTTTATCATTGCTTGATTGTGGAGGAAGTACATTTCGTTCTATTTTCAAGTTCATCAACTGATGAGACACATTGAAAAAAAAGACGAAACATAAATTCTAAATTCTATTGTTTGTTGAAATCAGCCACATGCCTTGATAATAATAATAATAATAATAATAATAATAATAATAAAACCCTTAATGAGAAAATAAGAATAAAATACTCTGTTGGGGGATGTTGGATCCACAGAACTCGCTTGATAAATATCTTTATTTTGGATTTATTTCATGGGCTGATCAGTTGACCTTGAGATCACACTTCACACCAGGAAAATTCTTGGCTGTGATTGGTTACTGTGTTATTTTAGTGTGTTATTTTTGTGACTGTCTCAAGGACGTCTCTATTGAATATAAATAAACGCAATTTGAGTGCTTGAATTCATTGTGTGCTGGTTGGGTCTTTGTAGAATACATTTTCTACGCCATATCAAGACTTCTCGCTGATACAATTAGGTGAAGGGATCATAGTAAGCTACCTGGCTGCTGGTTCATTGTTATTTGACTAAGGTGAACTCGTAATAGTTTCAGGCACACCTAAAGACGAGCAGAACAAACTCTTTTCACAAAATAAATCTAATGAAAACTAAAGAAACATTGAAATATTGAAATTCCCTAGTTTTTTTGTTTAATTTAAACAAACAAATATCTTCAACCGTATGAATCATTCATTATTCAATTATGTGAATTTCTTAAATTAACACTAAATTAAAATCATTTTCAATCGACAATTGGAAATGTTAAATTTTTTTTAATGATAATTTACTTTTTTAGATTAAGAAATAGTTTAAAGAAAATATTGTCACGAAAGAAAACAACTTGGTTGTTACACATTTGAAATCATCAATCAATCATTGTTAGACCACCATTAGAAACGTGGAAGCACTGAAAGACGGGCGTTTCGTCCTGGTATGGGACTGACTCATTAGCAGTGCGCATCCACGACTCCTGCTCCTCGCAGGATTCGAGGAGGTCCGGGGTTCGAATCCTGCGAGGAGCAGGAGTCGTGGATGCGCACTGCTAATGAGTCAGTCCCATACCAGGACGAAACGCCCGTCTTTCAGTGCTTCCACGTTTCTAATGGTGGTCTAACAATGATTGATTGATGATTTCAAATGTGTATAAACGCAAACCTCCAAAACTCTGCCCCAAAACATGGTTGTTATGTGATCAACGTTCTTTTTGAATGAGCGCATTGTTTAAATAAGTTTGTACATGAGAAAAACAAATGAATGTTTTTAGTTAAAGATAAATTGAAAACCTTGACTAGCAGTGTATGGTATAAGGAAGTTGAGTTAACTGTTGCTAAGAATTTATAGAACAGAAAAGATATTTACTCAGTCAATCAGCTACAATAGAGAACTTCTTCGTACGTACGTAAATCAGTTCAAGTTGCCATACAACATTAACACAGAGATACAATTGTCAATTCAAATCCAATAGTAGTAGAGAAAGTAGAATTAGAAGCAGTAATTGGAAAGATTAGGGTTCCAAGATGTTATTCAAGCAGTATAATCTTAGTGAAATACGTTTAGACAGACAGAGAGACAGAGAAATACAAATCAGAACTTCGTACGTAAGTATATCAGTTCAGGTTGACATACCACATTAGCGCAGAGACGCAACTGTAGGTTCAAATCCAATAGTGATAGTGATATTAGAAGTATTAGCAGTAATGGAGAAGATTATGGAGCGAAGAGATTATTCAAGTAGAATTCGGTGATATAACTTTCGAAAGAGAAAGATGGAGATGATGAAGAATGCAGAAGCTCAGAATTTCATAGAACACAAAGAGTGGATGCACCTGCACCATTGCAAACGACTCTGAGCCATGTCGTTTAAGGTCTCTAACAATCGGTTACTATCGTCTCGCGGACCCCAACCAGGTAGCCTACATCTACCAACATGACTCAGTCCACTAGTCAGTGACTTCATTGATTTCTGCCATGTTTTGGTCTGGCCGCACCTAGCTTTCTTCCAACCTACTCCTACACCAGAAAACATAGCTCGTCGCGGCAGTCGGTGGTTAGGCTGATCGATTCATGATTTCAATGAAACAACAATTTCTATAACCCCTGGGGTAATGACAAAAATGATATCATTTAATGTAATTAAATAACATTCTAATTAAATAATTTTCAATGTGAATTTATTTAATCTCACTGAGTTATTCATTAGCAAATAAATCTTTTTTTTTGAACAATTCTATATTATGATCATCGGAATGTAATCACCACAGACTGCCTCGACGAGCTATGTCTTGTAGTGTAGGAGTAGGTTGGAAGAAATCTAGGGGCGGCCAAACCAAAACATGGCACAAATCCATGAAGTTACTGACAAATGGACTGAGTCATGTTGGTCAATGTGGGCTACCTGGTTGGGGTCCGCGAGACGAAAGTCATCAATGGTTAGAGACCTTAAACGACATGGCTCAAAATCGTTTGAAGTGACGCAGGTGCATCCATTCGTTGTGCTCTCTCAAATCCTAATCTTCTGGATTCGTCAGCAGTTCTACCTTTGTCTTTCTAACCTTATCTGACTGAATTATACTTCTTGAATATATAATATCTTCAAACCCTAGTCTTCTTCATTACCATTAATACCTCTACTATCTTTATCACTATGGGATTTGATTTGACATTTGCATCTCTGTGCTAATAATGTGGTATGGCAACATGAACTTATGTACATACGTACATAGTTCTACGTTGCAACTGTCTGTCTGTCTGTCTGTCTGGAATGTACTCAGAGTTGTTGTCAGTTATCTGAAATGCTACAATTTCTTGATTACAAACTACAAATCATGCCACTAAACAAAAAAGAAAATTATTTCTTTAATTCTATCATCATTATCATGCAACAAGAAAAAGGCTGAAGAAAGCGTTACTGATTACCACAAGATGAAATCTACTTGTATTTAACTGGTGAAAAAAAAAATCGGAATAAAACGGAAAAAAATGGATTAACCATAAAAAATATTTAAATCTAAAAATGAAAGAAAAATTGTACAATACAACAACTCGTGTGAGAACAATAGAGGCATGATCACTCTTCTCTCTCAATACCAGATAAAGTCTTTAATAGGGTATTGTTAACTAGAATGAAGGACTTTGTAGACGCCCAACGACGATCGTGTACCGACCAAATTGCAACATTATGGATGATTGTGGAACAATCAATTGAATGGAACTCACCACTCTACATCAACTTTATCAACTACGAGAAAGCATTCGATAGCGTAGATAGGAAAACACTGTGGAGGCTTCTTCGACACTACGGTGAGCCTGAGAATATAGTCAACATCATACGGAATTCTTATGATAGATTCAGTTGAAAAATCGTGCACGGAGGACAGCTAACAGACTGTTTCGAGGTGAAGACCGGTGCCAGGCAAGGTTGCTTACTATCAGCCTTTCTCTTTCTCCTTCTGGTGATTGACTGGATTATGAAGATGTTAACATCTGGAGGGAAGCACGGTATACAGTGAACAGCTAGGACGCAGCTGGACAATCTGGACTCCCCAGATGATCTGGATCTTCTATTGAACACGCAACAACAAATGCAAAAGAAGACGACCAGTGTAGTAGCAGCCTCAGAAGCAGTAGGTCTCAACATACATAAAGAGAAAAGTAAGATTCTACGATACAACACAACATGCGCCTACCAAATCACTGTTGATACAGATGCTTTGGAGGTCGTTAAAACCTTTACATATCCGGGAAGCATCATTAACAAGCAAGGTGGATCCGATGCAGATGTGAATGCACGGATCGGCAAAGTAAGGACAGCATTTCTACAACTGAAGAACATCTGGAACTCAAAACAAATATCAGCCAACACCAAAATCAGGGATTTCAATACAAATGTCAAGACAGTTCTACTGTATGGCAAAACTTGGAGAACTACTGAAGCCATCATCCAGAAGATACAAGTGTTTATTAACACTTGTCTTCGCAAAATAGTTCGTATTCATTGGCCAGATACCATCAGCAACAATCTCCTATGGAAAGGACAAACCAGATTCCGGTGGAGGAAGAAATGAGGAAGAAGCACTGGAAATGGATAGGACACACATTGCGTACAGCACCCAACTGCGTCACAAGACAAGCCCTGATTTAGAATCCTCGAGGCCAATCGAAGAAGGGAAGACCAAGGAATACATTAAAATGAGAAATGGAAACCAACATGACAAGAACCAATAAGACATGGACAGAACTGGAAAGGCATGCGCCCAGGACAGAGTAGACTGGAGAATACTGGTCGGAGGCATTTGCTCCATTGGGAGGTAACAGGAGTAAGTAAATACTTAAGTACAACAACACGTTAAACTAGAATCGTCTAATTAAAAATCTAAAAACAAATATTATCATTATTATCAACCTATGATCACAATCTACGGTAGTTAATAAGTGTTTTTTTTCATGTTGAAATCAAGAGAAACACTACTATTACTACTACCACTACCACTACCACTAATACTACTACTACTGATACCAATGATTATCTCATCACATAATTATAATCTCATACCTATGCGTAATTCACAGCCCAAATTGTTTTCTTATTACACATCAACTGATCGATAAGTCAACCTGAATAATAATAATGATGTTGATGAATGCAATTTGAGATATATAAAGAAATAATTTGTTTAGTTTAGTTCACTTAATTATTTGAAATCAACTGAACATTGTGTAGATTATGAATAATAATAATAATAATAAAAAGATGGTGATTGGCAAAAGTGAATTGAAGCCAGACGGTTGGAATGGCTGCTGGTTAGTGCACTGCTAAGTGGTTCGGTAAGTGATTCATTAGTGCCCGAACGGGGGCCACTGTTCGTGTGCATGCTTTCTGGACGTCCGACCTGCTTTCAGACCAAACTGGACAACATGTATGTTCCCGATGGGGGCGGGGGTGATTACTGTTGGCGACAGTGAAAATCCTTGTGTTGCCTAAAAAGCAGCGATGTGCATGTGTAGCGAGCTTTTCGGTTAACCTATCAATTGATACTGAAGTTCCACCTTTAGTAACTATGACTCTCTTAAGGTAGCCAAATGCCTCGTCATCTAAATGAATGGGTATATTAGGTGACGCGCATAAATGGAGCCTTCTGGGGGTTGTGTTGGCGGCTACATTTTCGTGGTCCTGCCAGGCAACGTGTCGTTGTTTACAGCGCTGCGGCTAAGAGCCGTTCCGAACGCTTAGGATACCGTGCTTAGCATCGTCCAGAATAATGGTAAGTGTTCATGGTTGCAAGGCTGTGGATGCGGTTAGCCACTCTGGGGGATTAGGACTGAACGCCTCTAAGTCTGAATCCCGTCCATCGAGCGTAGGTAAATTTTGAAATATTGGGATATAGCTTTCCAGGATACTTGAAGGCGGCCCTAGACGATTTGTTTGGGGAAGCAGCCGTAAAGATCCTGGACTATTGACGCCGACCCTATGTAGTTGTCCCAGACACTCTGCATCTCGGTGTATTGTGTCAACTGGCGCCGAGCCCCCTTAAACAAGGGTCTCCAGTTGGGTTAAGTGATCCAGTGCTGAAAGGGAACTGGACGCCAATGATGTCTGCCCACTTATATAGTGGGATTAACGCTGCTTGGCCGAGTGCTTGCACTTGGTTGAGTCCATGACATCTTCCCCATGGGAGGGTGTACGTTCCGGCTGACCTTGTGGGACAAACTCGATCTTTAGCTTCATGTGGGGTCTGAGGGCTCCGGTCGATTGTATCAGCGCAAGGCAGTTGGAGGCCAGACGGTTGGAACGGCTGCTGGTTAGTGCACTGCTGGGTGGCTCGGTAATCCGTTCGGGGCGCCAGGTCTAGCTAGGAAAGCCCAGCTTGCCGCCCTTACCGACTGGGGATTGTAGGTAGTTGATTGGTTGGAGGGATCTTGTTGATTCATAAGTGCCCGAACGGGGGCCACTACTCGTGCCCGTGCTTTTTGGACGTCCACTTGTCTGTAGACCAATCTAGACAACATGTGCGTTCCCGTATGGGGCAGAGATAATCGCAATATTGGCTCTTGTAAGAATTATTGTGTTGCTTAAAATACAACGGCGTGCATGTGCAGCAGGCATTCTGGTTAACCAAGAATATACTAAAGTTCCACCTAGGGGAGTTGGAAAACCTTGATTCCAAAACAGTGATTCAAATGGGCTTCGGGATCCTCATTGAAGGAATGGTGTATGAACCTACTATTGACCACCAGCTAACATCAGATACCATTTCCTGACGTTGTTCCATTGCCTTATGGATTAGACCTTTGAATCGAACCACTCGCTCTGGTTTGGCCACCAGGGCAGTATTCCAACATAAATATTTCAATACCCCCGTTGGCACCAATTTGTATGTGTTGAGATAAAAATAACATGCTTTACATTACACTCATACACAAACAAATGATTCAAAAAGAAAGCGATCAATTTAAAACTTTTCCATAAATCTTCTTCCTTCATCATCTATACCAATAGTTTATTCGTTCATGTTTGTGCTTTTTTCCTCTGTGCACTGGATCAGATGATTTTGTTGAAAAAATTCAATATACTTTTTAATCAAATGAACAAATCATATGGTACACATTGTTAGGAAAAAGAATATTTACACAGAGAAAATAAAAAAAGAAAAATCATTTTAATTTACTAATGTAATAAAAATTACACTTTATACGAACGATTTTATGTGCATCTAAAAATCAATTAGGACCATTATTATTATTATTATTATTATTATTATTATTATTATTATTATTATTGTTATTATTATTATTATTGTTATTATTATTGTTATTATTATTATTATTATTATTATTGATTTATTGATTCAAACATGTGAATTATAATCTTGAAATTTGAATGAATTCGGATTGTTTCAAATAATGAAGAGAAAAATTCAAATTGATTAAAATAAAGAAGTTAAAAAAAGGAAACAGTGAATTATGATTAAAAAAAAGATTCAATAGTTCGTTTAAGTTTTCAATTGATCAAAACTATGTAACGTTGTTGTCTGCTAACAGTTCAGTACATATATTCTGTGACTGATTGAATCTGTTAGGATATTCATCCAATATCGTAAGAGAATTATTGGTCAGATCCTATTGGTCGATTTCTATTGGTCAAAATTATGGTCGTTTTAATTCTCAAAGTCAAATACTTAAATGTTGTCTATCATTGGTCATCCTGACTGTTAATGTCATTTCAAATGTTACCTCCTATTGGTCGTCTTAACTGTTAATGCCACAGAATTCGATGCTGTTTCCTATTCGACCAAAATGTATAAATACGCATTATCTGTAACGTTTTATGACCAGGACCAGTACACGGTCCCGGAACCCTAGTCCGGGATCCTGATTCTCTGGACTCGGACCTTGTACTTTCTGGATGCTTGTAGAATACAGGTTCTACTTCATATCATGTCTTCTTATTTTTACTCAATATGGGGGTTGGGATAATCGGATGTGTGTAGCATGTCGTGTCGGCTGATCCTCGATCCTCGCTCACGTTTCCCGTCTAGGTAAGTTCAAGCATACGTGCAGGCGTATAAAGAAACGGTCACAGATAATAGTTTCTTCAAAATTGATGATATAATTTTCTGAAAACTGCTGAACAGTATAAAATATAGGTCCATGATTTCCTGTAGGCTCTGTCAAACCGTGAAGAATAATTCTGTGACTTTGTCAATGCATATTTAAATAATTTGGTCTCACTATATCGTACAAATTATATGTATAAACAAACAGTATTTCTAGCTTTAAGACTTTGGTACAGAATGAATCACTATTATCCAATCTCTATAACAACTTAAACTTTCTTATCTAATAAATACACAATAAAAAACTACAACTGTTGCATAAAAACTTTTCATCAATAAATTTGACTACTTATAAGTAGTTAGTTTTAAATTAAAAAATATTTTTCACCAATTAACTTTTGTATATTTTTATAAAATCAATAATAATTTTATTAACTTACAGAATTGGAATTATTCACTAATGTACCTTGATTTGGATTAGTTGCAGCAGCAGCTGCTGCAGCTGCTGCAGCTAATGGACCAACACCAGTTTGAGCTAATAATTGTTGTTGTAATAATTGTAATTGTACATTACGCATAATCATATTATTTCGACCATTTTGTATTAATTGTTCACGTAAATGTTGTGGTGGATGTAAATACTTACAAGGTGGATCACGACGTTGACATTTACCCTAATAATAATAAGAAGAAGAAGAAGAAGAAGAAAATTCACTTTTTTTTTTATATTTAACAAATTGAAAGTATATTTGAATTGGAATGAAAATACAGAAGACTATCAAGAAGATCACAAGACAGACAGTTACAACGAAGAACTACGTACGTATGTACATAAGTTCATGTTGCTGCCATACCACATTAGCACAAGGATGCAGATGTCAAATCGAATCCCATTGTGATAGAGATAGTAGAAGTATTCATGGTAATGAAGAAGACTAGGGTTTGAAGATATTATGTATTCAAGAAGTATACTTCAGTGAGATAAGGTTAGAAAGACAAAGGTAGATGTGCTGACGATTCTAGAAGATTAGGATTTGAGAGAGCTCAAAGAATGGATTCACTTGCGCCATTGCAAACTATTTTGAGCCATGTCGTTCAAGGTCTCTAACCATTAGTGACTTTTGTCTCGCGGACACCAACCAGGTAGTCTACATTTACCAACATGACACACTCCACTTGTCAGTGACTTCATGGATTGCTGCCATGATTTGGTTTGGCCGCCCCTAGCTTTCTTCCAACCTACTCCTACACCACAAAACATAGCTCGTCGAGGCAGCCGGTGGTTAGCCATACGTAACACATATCCCAACCACCTCAACTGATGAAGTTTCACCACTTCATCTATTGATCTGCCATCCTTATCTAGTGCTCGTTTCCTAACGACAGCACTGCTTACTCAGTTGACCCACGATACACCAGCAATGCTTCTTAGACATCTATGATCGAATACTAGTATTCTACGAACATCTTCGACTCTTAACGGCCATCTTTCACAGCCATATAAGAGAACGGAGCGAACTGCTGCACAGTACACTCGTCCTTTGATTAGAGAACGGATACCACGCCTACGCCGTAAGAAGATCACAAGGAAATTAGTGAAGTTTATTTCAAATCAAATATTCAATAAAATCTGTATGATGTTTATTACGATATAAATAACAATTTATGTATGACTTCAAATTGATTATTTTATGAAATATAGTATGATTTTGTATATCGTTGAAAATAATGAAATGGGAAGTGTTTTAAATCTATACGATTGACTACTGGGTTGTGACTAGTCAATGTAAAAACTTGTCTTATCATAGGAGGTCAGCTCAGACTGAATAGCTGTATGGAAAATGCCTCGGACTCTAAAATTGAGTAATGCAGACTCTAATTCATCAGAAAAAGTCCTTTTTCTAAAGACTTCAGATACCTGGAAGCACTAGATGGCTGTTTTGTTCTAGTTTGGGATTCATCAGCAGTGCACATCTACGATCTCAGCTAGTAGGAATCGAACCCAAGACCTTCGACCTCGTGTGCGAACGCTTAACCTCTAGACCATTGAGTCCAGTTTGAAACAGTGCTCACCGAAGGAAGGGAATATATATATTCCATCTAGACTTGACTTCTAACTACATTCAACATACTACTTATATTACACAATTTTTGAAACCATGAATCGATCAATGTTAGACCACCATTAGAAACCTGGAAGAACTGAAAGACGGCCGTTTCGTCCTGGTATGGGACTCCTCAGCAATCTTCACAACGCCTGTAATGCAAATTACCTGTGCTCACTAGTAACTAGCTTCGTGAGGAATCTTCTCCGAGTTCTAGTGGGAAGACGTGACCAGTGAAGTTCAGCCTGTTCGGGTGTAGGCAATGTCTACCGAAGACTGTGTATGAGGTTGCGCAACTCCGTGAATTTGGTCAAGTTAGACATTAACACCGTTAGATACCGGCTCAGTGGTCTAACGGTTGGGGCTTTCGCGCACAGCACCGAAGGTGCTGGGTTCGAGTCCTGCGGGGTGCAGGAGTCGTGGATGCGCACTGCCGAGGAATCCCATACAAGGACGAAACGGCAGTCTTTCAGTGCTTTCAGGTTTCTAAAGGTGGTCTAACATTGATCGATTCACGGTTTTCAAAAATTGTGTAACTTAACAATCTTCACAACCCCTGTAATGCATACTACTTGTATATAAAAGTACCATACACCACACTACTACTAATAAATACTAACACTATTTAATAACACTTATTTAACATTCAGAATTAATTTATTTGCACAAAAAATATTAAATAACCTAAATATTGGATTCATTGTATAAACAACAGCATTAAGTCACTTTATTCATACCAAATAGTTGTCTATGATAATTTACCAATAATCAGAAGAAAACAATAATAGTCAGAAGAAGAAAAAGAAAAAGGTGTAAAGAGATAACAGAAAAAAAGAAAGTCAGGGATATTAGAAATATGCGCAGCCACACACACACACATACACACGCGTACATATATATATATATATATGTACTGACTATTACAGTGTTATTCGTAGTGATAATCTAATAATCTGACACTCCAATATATATAAATATGTCTTCTATCCAAAGTTAAAACAATCTGTTTTCGCGCTTCATCATCTCTCTCTCTCCCTCTCTCCCTCTCCACTCAACTGCCTTGTATACATACATCTCGGATGCATCAACATCAACATTAGGTTTATTCATTAATGTAAATTCATTTAGCCGTAGTAATAGTAGTAGTAGTAATAGTAGTAGAAATGAACAGAGTGGATACCGGAATGATGAACTCCACTCCACTCCACTGCTCCACCTTGTTTTTGTCAATTGTTTCTTTATTTTGTCTGCTATTTCTTTCAATTGTTTCAACAATAGAAATATATTCCATTTCATATCGAATCGAATACCAATATATAACAACAGTACAGTATAGTACAGTGCAGTACATTGATTGATATAATAATTAAACTAATGTGATAAAAAGTCGCCTTTTTCTTTTCAATTCTTCACTGCCTTTTTTTTGTTTTTGGTTTTATATTTCGTATATATATATTGAGGAAAAATAGGAGAATATATACAATCTTTCTCTGATCAATGTATATCATATCATCATCAATTGTAATTAGGGTGATACAGATAGATATACGTATTTAAAAACAATATACATTTCCTTTTTTTCTGAAGGATAATTAACGTATAGTTTATTGTATATTAAGAGTGTTGAACAAACACACACAACGCATATATACATATATATATATATGTGTGTGTATATCTATTTATATTCGAGAATAATAACTATGAACTACAAATGTATATATATATATATATGTATATATATATATATATATATAGAGAGAGAGAGAGAGATATGTTCTGTTATAAAGTTATTTAAATGGAAATCAATGTAATATTTTTACAAATTTCAATTAAGAATAAATTATCTTCTCTATTATTTTTTCCCCTGATTGTTGATTTTAATTAGCTAAATGAAAGTTCATTATATTCAATGATTACTACTATTACACATTTTTGAAACCATGAATCGATCAATGTTAGACCACCACCATTAGAAACCTAGAATCACTGGATGGTCGTCTCATCCTGGTATGGGACTCCTCAGCAGTGCGCATCCACGATTCCTTCACCCCGCAGGATTCGAACCCAGGACGTTCGGTATTGTGCGCGAACGGCCGTCCAGTGCTTCCAGGTTTCTAATGGTGGTGGTCTAACATTGATCGGTTCATGGTTTTAAAAATGTGTAACTTAACAATCCTCACAACCCCGTAATGCAAATTACTACTATTGTTATATTTTGTAAGAAAATAGAGAAGTATCATTCATCATCAGCATAACACATATGAATATGAAAATATTATAAAAATATTATTCGGGCATTATATTTATATATATATATTATTTGATGCCTATGTCAGTCAACCAGTTACAACGGTGAAGTTCGTACATGACTACATAAGTTCAAGTTGCCATACTGCATCAGTACAACAGAGACGCAACTGTCAGTTCAAATCCCATATGGATAGAGATAGTAGAAGTATTGGTGGTAATAGAGAACCTTTAAATCACTGAGCCAGCATTCAATGGTGTGGATATTTAACTTTAATTGTGCGACCTCATCCGTTGTCTTCGTTGAGTAACTACTGCCTAACACCTGACATGATTGAAATCCACTGTTCATAGTATGATTTAAAAAAATGTTCTTAGATCAGACAAATTTACTGGAAACGATCAGATCAATGTCTATTTGAATGGAGCAGTGAAGAGTCAGTCAGTCAGTTAGATGCAACGTAGAACTTTGTACGTAAGTACATCAGTTCATGTTGCCATACCACATCAGCACAGAGATGTAATTGTCAATTCAAATCCAATAGTAGAAGAGGTAGTAAAGGTATTAGAAGTAATCGGAGATGTTAAAATTAGAAGATATTATTCAAGAAGTATGATTCAATTAGAAACGTTTAGAAAGTCAAAACTAGAAGAATCCAAAAGATTAGGATTTGAGAAAACACAAATAATAAATGCACCGGCGCCATTGCAAACGATTCCCAGCCATGTCATTCAAGATCTCTAACCATCGGTTACTATCGTCTCGCGGACCCCAACCAGGTAGCCTAAATTGACTAACATGACTCAGTCCACTTGTCAGTGACTTCATGGATTTCCGCCATGTTTTGGTTTTCCCGCCCGTAGTATGCTTAGCTATCAATGGTCTTTGGCACATTCACGGCGACAAATTAGTAACTGATGAATTGATGACTGTTCAGTTTAGAGACAAATATTTTGTAATATATATTGTCAGTAATAATTTGAAATTCAACGAAGCATTCATAGTTTTTATTTTGATAGTAAGACCCACCATCATTTTACTAATTTAAATGAATGATTGACGATTTCTAAAATATATCTCAGGCAATCGTATTCGGAAATCGATTACATCAGAGAATTATTTATCCGGCCTCATTATGGACGATTTCAGCATCGTATTAGTCAACTATTCCAGTGTAATTGAAATCACCGATTGATCAATGTTAGACCAGTATTAGAAACTAGGAATCACTGGACAGCCGTTTCGTCCCATTGTGGAACTCTTCAGCAGCGTGTATCCGTGAACTCCACATGCAGGAGTCGAATCCATTTGGTAACTA